AGAGCTAATAAGGAATTACTAAAGCTAGCAATGGTATAAGTGGAGGTTAAATAGGTACATATAACAGTACTTACTATTCATTGAAATAATCAAAATAAAATTGAAATGCAACTACACATACAAATTATTACCAAATACCATCCTTACCTAGCCACCGTAAGGCATCAGGTACGACAAACATCAATAGTATACGGCACGAACAGACACTTACCTACCTTAGGTAGGAATAGTTGTATTAGTGACCTATATCATCAGGAGTAAAATAAAGCCCTATCAATTCAACTATTCTTCAAAATGTGTATCATGTAACGTTAAAATAAATTATTACATTTACACAAGATTTAAATTAAAAAGTCGGGCTTTCATTCGCAAGAGTGGTTAAAACAGGCTTTATATCTCCAAATAAATAAAGATCCTAAAATATTTAAAGACGGGTTAGGGTTAGGGTTAGTTACATTCTGTATTACATAAATGCTAACCCAACCCTAACCCAACCCTAACCCTCTCTATCAGCCTTCAAAATCCAAAGGCCAACTTGAAATCAGGTGTTCCTACTATGTCGTGTGTGTTACCACGAAAGACAACTGCACAGTTGATCTGTTAAGGGAGAGAACATCCTTTAGTCGACATGGCGTTGTAGGCACACATTATTGAGCCAATGCGACACCTCGAATAATTTAATCTGTAAAACCAAAGAACTATACATGTCCCCTGTTTTCTCGAATCAATATTACTCGAGGTTCACTCTTTTGCTTATTTGCAGAAACGAAAAAACAATAGTCTAATTTTACTAGATGTACTTTGTTAAGAAATCGGTAAACCATGGTAAGTTGATAAGAGAAATGAGCAAAACATTAATTTTCCACTAAATAATATCGACTGGGATTATATTTAACTCAGATAAGTGATATTTAAGCTTTTAAAACCAGTCAAACATATCACTCTTTAAAAGCAGAAACAATGAAAAATTTGAAACTTTAATAAAATAACAAAACAAACAATTCTACAAATCAAAATAATTGAAAATTGTTTTAACTGAAAAAAGATGATGAGACGCCCCACAGTCATTACTTTTTTTTATTGCTGTATCATTTAATAATAAAACAGAATTCAATCAATTCTCGTTACCACCGGACATCGTGGGGATAGTGGAGTGGAACAGCTGATGGCATTACGTGTATGCCTATTACATCTCATATTCATCCCCGTCAAAACGGAAATACAAGTCCACAACCGACCAGAACATACCTCTTAAGGAAAATGGCGAGTTGACCACTCGCTTAAATATAGATTCTGAGTTGATCCCTGGCAAGTCCATCCCTGACACGTACTCATACCACTATTATTTCTATCCGTAATTACATCCCACGTACTGTTCCCGTAAGTAAACTCGGCCACCGGGATAACATGAACCCTTCAATAGTGTATATGATTACTTTGGACATTTGTTTTGGGCAATAATTTGACATTAAGTGGTACATGGCGGCCTACCAGCATGCCCGACAGCAAACTGCCAAAATTATCCGTACTACTCTACTAACCAAATTTTATCAGTTCACAAATGCATTTCATTTAAGCGTTTGCATAACGCTGTCTAACGTGTAATTTTAGCGTATGCATAACGCTGTCTAACGTGTAATTTTAGCGTATGCATAACGCTGTCTAACGTGTAATTTTAGCGTATGCATAACGCTGTCTAACGTGTAATTTTAGCGTATGCATAACGCTGTCTAACGTGTAATTTTAGCGTATGCATAACGCTGTCTAACGTGTAATTTTAGCGTATGCATAACGCTGTCTAACGTGTAATTTTAGCGTATGCATAACGCTGTCTAACGTGTAATTTTAGCGTATGCATAACGCTGTCTAACGTGTAATTTTAGCGTATGCATAACGCTGTCTAACGTGTAATTTTAGCGTATGCATAACGCTGTCTAACGTGTAATTTTAGCGTATGCATAACGCTGTCTAACGTGTAATTTTAGCGTATGCATAACGCTGTCTAACGTGTAATTTGATGCATTTGATGTGTTTCCTAACACTTAAACAAATTATGTAGATCCAAACAAATCTTATCAGAATCAATTCCAGATACAAGGCTACATTTAACTTTAGGGACAGATATTTCGTCAGCAGGGCAACTTCTTTGTTACGTACTTATCCCTAGAAGTCAGATCACACCTAGGGAGACAGCATAACAAAAGGAGAAACTTCAATAAATCTAAACAAAACGTTTAGTCGAGACCATGTGTTCCGGTACCGCAAATGTCACCCGTCACGGGGTCTACTGTCACCACATGTACATTACATGTCGAAGCCGTTATGATGTCTCCCTATACCTCATCCTCAAACGTTAACCGCCATAAGGTTTCGGGAAGTATCAGGATCATTGTTGACCCCTCACTCGATGGACATCATACTATGATCATTTATATTAATAAGATATGTAGGTCAAATCGATAACGATGGCAGATCAGGTGTATATACAATACATGTATGTGTTTAAGAAATACTATTACATGTACAAAGGTCACATTGAATGGAACAAAGACATCCAACGCAGGTTTTGTATGGAAATTATTACAGATGGATAAGACAATGATCTCTGTATTACTTCTGAGAATTTTAATGGTTCATAGCTTAAACATATACTAAATCTCCACCCAATTGTGACACAGCGTACATACAAACACATCAGTAATTCAAATGCTGAAAATTTAAGTCTTAAACATTATGGAAAATAAATACAAGGTCACCTGCCCGACCGTTTGGGTTTTCTCCGGGTACTCCGGTTTCCTCCCACATTTAGATCCCCCGCGCGCTAACATCCGGGCCATCAAGGTTGATATAAGTTGTTACTATTATAATTATGTAGCAATATCTCGAGCAAATCCTTTTGCATTTCAGAAAACAAAACATTTTTAAATAAAAAAACACGATGGGATCACAATTACTGGAATACTTTGATGTCAATTAACCAAGAAATAGTGCCACACAACAGCTTCCATTATATGTCGACAGTTTCCACAGATGATTGGGTTGCAGACCAGCTACGATATAGTCTGTCGACTGTGTCCACTTGTGATTAGGTTGCAGACCAGCTACGATAAAGTCTGTCGACGGTTTCCACTGATGATTGGGTTGCAGACCAGTTACGATAGATTGGGTTTCAGACCAGCTACGATATAGTCTGTCGACTGTGTCCACTGATGATTTGGTTGCAGACCAGCTACGATATAGTCTCTCGACGGTTTCCACACATGATACATGTAGGAGACACATAAAACGGCCCCGGTTATCTAACCCGATGTCCTCTAGTGATGGTGCACGTAATTGTTAAATTCATTTACATTCAAAACTTCATAGATAAATGTTACTTTTCTAATTAATAAAAACAACACCGATGTATACCCTCTATCAAGCTTGAGTTTTGTGGCCGTATCGCCTTAAAGTACAGCCTTTAGTTGGCTAAGATTGAGCTTCTTTGGTAACTTGAGTTGTTTTACCCTTTAAAACGTGGATTTGTATTTCCTTTCATTCGTGAAGTTGTACGTCATATATTACTTAGAGATGTAGTATCTCTTTTACACAATTAGGGTTAGGGTTGTGTCATTGTACAGACTATCAAGTATACAAGTGCATTTAATCCTAATGAAAAGTCGGAATTTCAATGACGTCATAAAAACAAACGATTTTCGTCATTAAAAAAACCCAACACAGGTGTATAAGTTTCCTGTCGTTAAAATTTGAAAAAACATAATACCGCTATTACATCGACAAATTATGTAATCTTCAATACCTGCTTTTCTGTTGATCTCAAGATTGAGATCTTGCAGGAAAATATCCTCCTCAAAAAACGAAAAAATAATAACTGACTATTCGGAAATTGAGACCCCGATCAATACTAGTGCTGCGCCCTATCGAAGATGTCTTTCCTTTATTTCAGCGTATTATATGATGTTTCCTAGAGAGCTGATATTATGGCCTCCGTCGATATCTCGCATATTTTTATCTAATTCGTCCGGTATTTTCAATAATCTATCATTATTTTTCAAAGATAATGGATCCCGTAAAGTGCATATTGTAAAAGTCCTTCCTGGCACTGTTGGCTGAGCGTACAGAACACTGTTATACGTCACTTTTATATATATGTCGACAGTTAGGATATTTGATAAGGCATTGTACACATGTATTAAGATAGTTCAGACAGTCAATGACGGATATAACCTTTCAATGATGTATCTATATCGAACAGTGTTTAGCATGCTCTATAAACGACACGGTTAAGTTTTTCTTTACATCGGCAAATATGTATCGTCAATTTTCCTTTGAGGTTTTACATTAAGCCAATTTAGCATCAGCATATTTATTTTCAGATGAAGGGTTACCCCGAGAAATTATCCTTCGAATTTCACAGATGATTTAGGTAAAATATACCGAAAATAATGTGCCTGTGTGTTCGATTTATAAACAGGTGCGTCTTTAATTACATGTTGGCGATGTACGCTGTACGTTTGTTGTAATGATAGCACCGATACGGAAAGATCATCACCTCACCCTTTGCAATTTTTGTCACAGTAATACGTCCACCCCTACCCTCAGAAAACTAGTAAATGCTAGTGAAGAAATAAGCGTTATGTTGTTGTTTGACATACATCTCTCGAATTGATCAGCCGGTATATTATACAGTGGTATATTATACTCTAATAAATTAATGCGTTAGAATTGGAGCCGATCTCACGTCATAACTTGGACAAGGACCATGCAAATAGAGCACTCGATGTACTGAGCGACACAGGGTTGTGCAACAACATTTGTATATCTCTGATATATTAAGATAAAATAAACAAAAGATCAGCAGAAAAAAAGACACATATTATAGCACAACACGGCTTATCCATGTCAAATTCAGCATGGCTCGCATGGACTTTCAGAACATTCTGATTTCATAGTATTTTGAACACAAAATGTGCAAAATAAACAAACAAAATACATTGTACATGTATTACAAGATTTATTTAGAATCACGTCAACGAAAATCAATAAACAATTACATTCATCACGATAACTCGGATACCGTCATCAAAGATAGTATCAGAAATACACACACTCACTGCGCAAATCTATCTCCCTCTCGCGCCCCATTTTGTATTGACGTTCGAGAACATACGGCAAACAATACCAGCATAAAACGTCGCAATAACATAAACAGTCATTTATGTACATGAAATGTGAAATTATCACAGACAATAAATACCACTTTCAAGATGATAAGCATTGTTGACGGAAGGATTAATATAGCGTTCAGTATTGTTATTATTGGAAACAAGCATCAATGATATTCCCGTTTACTAGACATCCGAATCTTCAATCAAGGAGGTGATAGACTATCAATTTCTGCTCTGACCATTTTTTACGATTTAAATGTGTAAACGTTTACCTTGAGACAATCGTTCTAAATGAGAATGTTATAAACTTATGCATTATCCATTTAATGCATTCAGGTAGTAAATTGTCTATTTATGCAATATTGTTTGTTGTTAAGTCAGGATGACTGAAGGCAACAGGAACAATGTCATAGATTTCAAAAATATTTCAAAATAGAACTGTGACGTCACACAGAAGATTAAAATCAAGATGGCGATATTAAAGTATTGCCAAGGGTTTTGGTAAATTGACAAAATGGATCTTTAATTTAGTTCCATATCATGGGAGACTGATTTGTTTGGGTAGGTCATCCAAACGGCTAAGTTAGTGTGGAGAAGGACAGGAAATTGATAAAACTTATCTGACAGTTTTCGTTTTAGCAAGACTGACCGTTTCAGTTGTAATAAATCTTATATAAATTTTCTATCCAATATAATTACGATTTGTTCGTATGCTTTAAGCGTTAGAAAATAATCATCCCCCACTTCCCTAACAGCTACTTTAAGTGGTTGAGACAATAATTGATATCAATCTCACTGTATGATGTTCAGAATTCTGAACACGGTTTGTAATTCGGCTTTAGATTCTTCTTTTTCAACAAAAATATCATTTTCGGTACAGAACAAAACGTCTTTCGGTGTTGTGCAAAGTGTTACTATTACAAAGTATATTAAAATATCACGTGCTGGTAAATGTGTAAGTCTTTGCGAGTTCAGGCCATGTCCAATTTATCACTTCAAGTTTAATTCATTTATCAAACGTAATATTTCGACTGTTAACAATAATGATTTTCTATATTTCACTTTACACCATCATAATTTGAAAAGAGAACTAAAAAGCAGGAAAATTTTAAATGACACAGCTTAATAGTAACTAGCATACTACTGTTCATTTGAAGTATCATTGAAAATATGGGACATTGCATGTTACATGTAAGACTTAACACAAGTTGTGAATAACAAAATCAAACAAATGTATTTCTTGCTCTTTCATGTAATGACTTCTGAAAGGTCCACAAGGGTTTGACGTCAAGAATAAGGTGTGATAATATAATTTGACAGCATAACATATACATGTACTAGAAGTATTGTGCAGTAATAAACAAGTACAAAAACAAACACCATAAATATTAAAAATACTTCTATTGTGATAAAATATCACACCTGAGTAGGTCAACAGTTTGTATTACTACAGAGTACTTACACCATCTCAACATTATATTAATGTAATGCAAGTTGTATAATCTCATCTCGTGTGGTAAATAGAGGAAAATAGCAGGGTCTACTCCTCCTTCCGTCACCTGGACAGATATCTTATACTCACCAACACCAGACAAACCTCAAACTTCTCTCAAACACACAATATCCGCGATTGATGCATTGTCTGCAAGTCAAACAAACAATAATAATACGCTCTTTCACTCTTAAATGTTCAATTCATTCTTTGCTCCAATTCATCAACAATCTTCTCGGCAGCGTCAGGAATTCTCGTTCCTATGACAACATAAAGTGAACAAAGTTAATGTTTCAGCCTCAGAGCGCGAGGCGCTACGTAAATAATGTCATCTAGATCCAGTAACCCATTTAGCAATATTTCCATACCAACAATGAAGAACCTGTTACATTACCTCGCTACGTCGGCAGATGATACAACTCATTGGAATAGTGTTAGAAATGAGTAATGTCACTCTAACAGGCAACAATGGTTCTTCATGGAAAATCCAGTGGAAAGGCAATTTAGCATGCATTAAACAAATGAATGCACAATGAAGATCGATGATGCAAATTGAGAAACTAGTGGTTTGAAATATATCTACTTGAGCTAAACGTGATGTGCTGAATAGGCATAATTCATGTAAAAAACAAGGCTGAAGTTATCGATGGGTGGATAGTCAAACCAATTCAAGCAATATATTTCAGAACTATGGTACGAATATTGATCTTGGTTTTTGGCACAAAGACTAAAACATACCTGGACCAAATATTTGAGAGACACCGGCCTCGTACAGGAAGTCATAGTCCTGCGGAGGTATTACTCCGCCTGCAATTACTAAAATATCTCTGCAATACAAACAAATAATGTATTAAACAAAGGCCAACGCTTATAACTTACAGTGTTAATTGTTTTCAAACTGTAGATTTAGAGGAGGACGCTTCCTTACTTTTCAAATTCGACACTTTTGAAAAGGAATGACTTCATTTTTGTCACAAATGAGATGAACTGTTACTCAAATAACCGACTATAATACATGTTTGTACGAAAATAATGAATCGTTCGAGTTTACAATTGGATCAGAAAAAGATGTTACATCCACAGGAAAAAATGTCAAGCCATTAACCCAGTAAGTGGTTATCTACGGTGTGTAACATGTGTTACGCAGCAACCCAGTAAGTGGTTATCTACGGTGTGTAACATTTGTTACACATCAACCCAGTAAGTGGTTATTCACGGAGTGTAACATGTGTTACACATTAACCCAGTAGGTGGTTATCCACGGTGTGTAACATGTGTCAAGTCATCAACCCAGTAAGTGGTTATCCACGGTGTGTCACATGTGTCAAGTCATTAACCCAGTAAGTGGGTATCCTCGGTGTGGAACATGTGTCAAGCCATTAACACAGTAAGTGGTTATCCACGGTGTGTAACATGTGTCAAGCTTTCCTCCCAGTAAGTGGTTATCCACGGTGGGGAACATGTGTCAAGCCATCAACCCAGTATGTGGTTATCCACGGTGTGGAACATGTGTCAAGCCATTAACACAGTAAGTGGTTATCCACGGTGTGTAACATGGGTAAAGTCATTAACCCAGTACGTGGTTATCCACGGTGTGGAACATGTGTCAAGCCATCAACCCAGTATGTGGTTATCCACGGTGTGGAACATGTGTCAAGTCATTAGCCCAGTAAGTGGTTATCCACGGTGTGTAAAATGTGTCAAGCCATCAACCCAGTAAGTGGCTATTTGGATCAGAAAAAGATGTTACATCCACAGGAAAAAATGTCGAGCCATTAACCCAGTAAGTGGTTATCTACGGTGTGTCACATGTGTCAAGTCATTAACCCAGTAAGTGGGTATCCTCGGTGTGGAACATGTGTCAAGCCATTAACACAGTAAGTGGTTATCCACGGTGTGTAACATGGGTAAAGTCATTAACCCAGTACGTGGTTATCCACGGTGTGGAACATGTGTCAAGCCATCAACCCAGTGAGTGGTTATCCACGGTGTGGAACATGTGTTAAGCCATCAACCCAGTAAGTGGTTATCCACTGTGTGTAACATGTTTCAAGCCATCAACCCAGTAAGTGGTTATCTACGGTGTGTCACATGTGTCAAGTCATTAACCCAGTAAGTGGGTATCCTCGGTGTGGAACATGTGTCAAGCCATCAACCCAGTGAGTGGTTATCCACGGTGTGGAACATGTGTTAAGCCATCAACCCAGTAAGTGGTTATCCACTGTGTGTAACATGTTTCAAGCCATCAACCCAGTAAGTGGTTATCTACGGTGTGTACCATGTGTTACACATCAACCCAGTAAGTGGTTATTCACGGTGTGTAACATGTGTTACCCATTAACCCAGTAAGTGGTTATCCACGGTGTGTATCATGTGTCAAGTCATTAACCCAGTAAGTGGATATCCACGGTGTGTAACATGTGTCAAGTCATTAACCTAGTAATTGGTTATCTACGTTTTGTAACATGTGTTAAACATCAACCCAGTAAGTGGTTATTCACGGTGTGTAACATGTGTTACCCATTAACCCAGTAAGTGGTTATCCACGGTGGGTAAAAAGTGTCAAGCCATCAACCCAGTAAGTGGTTAACCCCGGTGTGGAACATGTGTCAAGCCATTAACACAGTAAGTGGTTATCCACGGTGTGTAACATGGGTAAAGTCATTAACCCAGTACGTGGTTATCCACGGTGTGGAACATGTGTCAAGCCATTAACCCAGTAAGTGGTTATCTACGGTGTGTCACATGTGTCAAGTCATTAACCCAGTAAGTGGTTAGCTACGTTGTGTAACATGTGTTACACATCAACCCAGTAAGTTGTTATCTACGGTGTGTAACATGTGTTACACATTAATCCAGTAAGTGGTTATCCACGGTGTGTAACATGGGTAAAGTCATTAACCCAGTACGTGGTTATCCACGGTGTGGAACATGTGTCAAGCCATTAACCCAGTAAGTGGTTATCCACGGTGGGTAAAAAGTGTCAAGCCATCAACCCAGTAAGTGGTTATCCACGGGGTGTAACATGTGTCAAGTCATTAACCCAGTAAGCGGTTATCCACGGTGTGTAACATGTGTCAAGCCATCACCCCAGTACGTGGTTATCCACGGTGTGTAACATGTGTCAATCCATCAACCCAGTAAGTGGTTATCTACGGTGTGTCACATGTGTCAAGTCATTAACCCAGTAAGTGGTTATCTACGGTGTGTAACATGTGTCAAGTCATTAACCCAGTAAGTGGTTATCTGATGAGTATGAGCTGCAAATATCACATGACATCATGGTTTATGAACATTTGGGTTTTCTCCAAAACTAAAATATGTAAATGTATTCGATACAGCGTGATAACTGTGATATCATTCCTTTTACTGTATGTATCGTAATACAGAGTTTTAGAACCACCTTGCTATTTTTATTTTGTTTAGGTCGTTATAATGTACGCATCTTTATGATCACTTTTTGATAAGGATTTTCATTCTGCTGAACTAAATTCCACCGATGAGTTATTATACTCCGACAGGCCATATGTAGAAACTATTGCCTGTTTGGCTACAATGTATCTGTATCAACATTCAATAGTTGCCTCCTTTGCATTTCTAGTGTTTGATCAGCTTCGAATTTTAGCAATTCAAGGTGTAAAAATATGTTGTCTGTCCCACTTTTCATTTAATTCTATCCTGTTTCACCTTAAGGGTATGATTTTTTTTGTCATCCGAAGGTATGACAGATGGCTCGCAGAATGAAGCGATACGATGACGTCAGGGAAGAATAAATTATGACGTCACAATAAACTTTCGACGGGATACGTCAATTACAAATCAAATTAACACAACTTTCATGTTCTGATAAAGAACGTTTTCACATATATGATTGATTCCGATACCCTCGGGGAGAGATTCTTGAATGTGTAACCATCGGCTTGAAGCAAGTCTCAGAAAGGACATTCCTAAATTCAATGTATCAAGGGGAAGCATCTATTAATCATATACACGATGATGCTCTTAAAACTACAATCAAGAATTTTCGACGAGATGTTCCATTTGTTTACGAACTCTGCCTCCTCAACTCCCTCCCTTCTTATACGTTTACAACCTGTTTCTGTGGAACTAAAGCTTACGGTTTTTCCTGTGGCGTTTTCAATGGAAATTGAGTTATCTTGGTCAATATAATCTTTCACTAGATTTCAAATCCATTTTATCCTATCAAAGTATGATGCAGTTCAAGTCGTTTATGTGCGATCAATCAAACATGAAAGTGAAAATGACATACAATTTTAACGACAAAACCATGCTCAGCTGCATTCACAATTGTATGATATATTTGTAACTGTATCCTCACTCTTCAGATTGTCTGTTAGGTTTAGAGCTATCATAAACCTGACGCCAGATTACCTAGCAGACAATCAGCTTGGCTCAAAATACATATTCAGTATTCCGAACGTTCCAAATAGGTTAGCTAGGGATCTGAGCAAAGGTTAAAACACAGTGATACTCTGAACAGGCCGACCACCACATTTACATATGATACTGTTATAACTATTAGAAGAAAATCATACAACAGCCTTGAGGTAATGATGAGAAAACGTGCTCTAACTGATCCCCCGACCTACAACCATCTCCTACCAGCTAGACTAAGCAATGGGCTAGTGGGTCAGGGCAGAATCACAACGCGATCATCAGTAACAGCAAAACTAATGGGAAATTTTTCGAGTATGAAATTAGGAAAAGCCTTGAGATATTCAAAATTAGACGCCTTCCAAGGTTTATAAGTACTATGTTCAAGTTGAGTGTCCTAGAGCATGCTACCGGAACTTTGTAGATTAGAGGGTATTGGGATCTATTTACTGTGTTAAAGTAGAGGTATTGGAGCGCAGGGTACCAGGACCCTGTAGATAAGATAATGGAATATGATGAGACTTCCAGAATGAAGGAGATATTGATTGTGATATTGCAGGGGAAATATTTAACGTTTTAAAACACATTTGTAACTATTTTAAGATGGCCGGCAATACCAACTGGCCTACTTTTATTCTAACAAAGCTGTTGTGGAAGACAAGACTTCTGTTAATTTTATAATTTTAAATGTTTCAGTACATAAAGCCTTATATCACTTTTAATTGTGCATTATAGTTTCCTTTGCCTTAAATGACGTGTCAGTAAACAATTGAAACATAAATCTGTATTTCACAGTCTGGTAAACCTGGTAGTTATAAAACTTTTAATTGTTTGTGTAACATGTGTGGTAAACTTACGTAAAGGACATGTGTTGAGGGCCAGGTACATATATCGTACATTTAGTGTTGTAATAACATAAACACATGACTTATAATGATAGTAATAAAGCATTTCAATTATTAAATTAGCAATTAGCATATCGATTAAACATGTTCAAAGATGATCAACGTATCGATATCAATAAAATATTTTACAAGAGTACAACTCAATGGAAATATAATTCAACAATTTAAAATATCAAGAGAATATTAACAATATATTAACAATTAACAGTGAACAATACTAACATAACATCATAACAGTATATGTATACCAAAGCATAACAGCTGCCATGGCACATGCATTGCTACATTGTTACTATAGTCTCTTATTCAGAATGAAACTTATTAATTTTTCATTCATAAATAAATGTCTATCATTGACAATTCAGTAAATAGACACATATTTTTAAAAATATGTATTATAAACAAATGTGTCAACATTCATCATTTAACTCCTTCACCCATGAAATTGTATAATGAACTATATTCCAACCTTTGAATTGGAAGAGTTCAAATGTGCCTTCAGGGGTGAATGAGTTAATAAACCTGTACCGCTTACATATGCGTTACTGTACCGCATACTCACATCCCCCCCCCCCCCCCCCCCCCCCCNTACTGTTTTACATGTTTAAATCATCACATATAATTCCACTTACATACACGGTCATGTTTCTCATAAAATACGAATTATATTTCCACATGCATCATTTATTATAAATACACGACACATCCTGTGTACCTCTAACATATCCGTTACGGTAACACTCCTAACATACAGTCAGGTGTAGTATACACATCACACATAATACCCCTAACATACAGTCGGGTGGATTATACACATCACACATAATACCCCAACACAAGGGCGGGTGTATTATACACATCACACATAATACCCCTAACATACAGTCGTGTGTATTATACACATCACACATTATACTCCTAACATACAGTCGGGGGGAGTATACACATCACACATTATACTCCTAACACACAGTCGGGTGTATTATACACATCACACATAATTCCCCTAACATACAGTCGGGTGTATTATACACCTCACACATTATACTCCTAACATACAGTCGGGTGAATTATACACATCACACATAATACCCCTAACATACAGTCGGGTGTATTATACCCATCACACATTATACCCTAACATACAGTCGAGTGTATTATACACATCACACATTATACTCCTGACATACAGTCGGGTGTATTATACACATCACACATTATACTCCTGACATACAGTCGGGTGTATTATACACATCACACATTATCCTCCTAACATACAGTCGGGTGTATTATACACATCACACATAATACCCTAACATACAGACGGGTGGATTATACACATCACACATTATACCCCTAACATACAGTCGGGTATATTATACACATCACGCATTATACTCCTAACATACAGTCGGGTGTATTATAAACATCAAACATTATACTCCTAACATACAGTCGGGGGGAGTATACACATCACACATTATACTCCTAACATACAGTCGGGTGAATTATACACATCACACATAATACCCCTAACATACAGTCGGGGGGATTATACACATCACACATTATACCCCTAACATACAGTCGGGTGTATTATACCCATCACACATTATACCCTAACATACAGTCGGGGGGATTATACACATCACACATTATACCCTAACATAAAGTCGGGTGGATTATACACATCACACATAATACCCCAACATACAGACGGGTGTATTATACATATCAGTCACATAATACCCCTCACATACAGTCGGGTGTATTATACACATCACACATTATACCCTAACATACAGACGGGTGTATTATACACATCAGTCACATAGCACCCCTAACATACAGTCGGGTGTATTATACACATCACACATAATACCCCAACACAAGGTCGGGTGTATTATACACATCACACATAATACCCCAACATACAGACGGGTGTATTATACATATCAGTCACATAATACCCCTCACATACAGTCGGGTGTATTATACACATCCCACATTATACTCCTAACATACAGTCGGGGGTATTATACACATCACACACACCCTAGTTTAGGCTCCCTAACGTGTAACTTCCAAACTACGTGCACCAGACGCTTCTAGTACTTCTGTATAATAAAGGTCAATTTAGCATAAGATAAAACATGAAGTATTTTATACATACGGTCGATCCATTTTTTTCAGTTCATCAACGAGTTGTGGGATAAGAGTCTTGTGACCGGCAGCCAATGAACTGACCCCTACCACGTGGACGTCGGCGTCTATCGCCTGCTGGGCTGCCTCCTTTGGTGTCTGGGGAAAAAACAAAAATTGTAGACAACTCAAAATAAATCAATACTTACAACAAACACGTCCTTTGGTAAGTTGTCTTTAGTTTAAACAGTATTGTTATTCAATATATGGCAGTGACAAAATAATACAAAATCAACAAAGAGGATTCGAAAACAAGTACATAAGTACTTATATTAGTTCGTCTCCTTATTAATAAACCTGGCAGTAGGACGGCACTGTTACAAATATTTTGATAGTATAACAGACAAAGAGAAGAAGAAGAAATCAGGGAGGGGAGGGCGAAAGGGGTACATCAGGAAATGAAAGAAAGTGGTTACGAAGAGTATAACGAGAAGAACTTCATAACTTAATTGAATCTGGTTGGAATGTGATTCATGAAAAGGTAACCCTAATGAGCTCTATGAAAGGATGCATTATATACATTGGAAATCTCTAAATTGCCTTACGTTGATTCCAATAAAACAGTATACTGATACATGTATCCTGTAAAATGCCAGAGTGGTGTAGTCTATATCAACTCCAGTATCAACAAAACTCAAGTCTAAATATCATACTGACATGTCACAAGTGTTGTCGAACAACATAAGTTTCAAAGTTAATGCATATTGTTTAAACAAACGCGATAATTACATAAAAATAAAATAAAATAAATAAATCTTGCACTAAAATAGTTTCGACTTACAGATAAATTGTTGGACAGAGTCAAAAACATTTAAACCATATTGATCTGGCATATCAGGATTTCCATACAGCAGCAGATTTAAATTATTCCCATGAGGAAGATTTCTAAAACATTGTAATCTTAATTGTTCGAAGTTAGGACAAAAGAGGAGAAAGTGTTCAGTAGTTTCAGCAGAACGGTTACAAGAACACATGGGACTTTCAACTAAGTTACGTAAAAACAAGTGATTATTAAGGGAACTACAGTTCATCCTCAGTCGAGCGTAGTGAATTTGGCCAAATCTACTTTTGCAGCAATAGTAATAGGATGGAACAAGATTATTGTGATGATAGTGGACATTCAAGGACTTCTAAAGGTTAGAGAGTGATGGGTTATGCTTAAAGGGGCTGGTCGGGGAAAAAATTACAAAATAAATTGGTCTAAATGCGTTCTCTGGCCTTCCAAAAGTTATACCACGGCAATATGATGGTCGAGTTCTGCTTGCAATGTCCAGTTTTGACCCCTGAAATCTCGGGGAAGCCCCGCGTAAATTTAGCGCAGATCTATTTATATATGTCATGTGGTTGTTTCGAAAGTTAGGCAGTGAAGATAACAACAATAGCACGCCGTCATGTGCCATGTCGGACTCAACTAGCGGACAAGACAGCAATACTATACGTAACTAATTGGTTTTCAAAGGTCATGTATGATGCAAGTGTAGTATTCCTACCTATATGTTGTTGTTATATATAACGCTATTGATCCCTCGTGCCTGTCATGACTTTTGCATGCATCTTTTTCTTTCGCCGCGATGTTTACATTTGGCCTTGTTGATGATGCGCGTGCGGTAAAATTACATCACTGATCTGGGTCAATTGAGAGTTTAAGACTGTCAGGTGACGATTTAGGATTTCTTTAATATAATTATAATTTTTACTCTTAGGGAGTGAATTTCAGCAAAATTTGTATCGGTATATTTCATAAGGTATTTTAAACATGTGTATGCCATTTTAGCAAATATGACTTCTTTTCCCCGACCAGCCTCTTTAACGTCGTCCGGAAGAACATTCCATAAGTCAACAGAGGAAGGTAGAAAAGAATCTGTATAGAGTTTAGTACGACATCTTATTTGACAGAATTTATTCACGTTTCTAGTATCGTGAGAATGAATGTCAGAATAACGAGCGGGGAATATGTTAGTTAAATAGGAGGGACATTGACCATGAACAATCTTATGAAGTTATGTTATTTTATGTTTTCGTCTTCTTTCAATAAGAGGGTACCAACCAGTTTCTAAATACAATCTCTCACGACTAGTTAATTTAGTGGCCCCAGTTACAATCCTGGCTGCTTCGAGTTGAATATTTTCTAACAGCTGGCTTTGGCCTGTCGTTATATTGTCCCATATCACGTCACCATATTCTAACAAAGGTCGAATAAAAGTAAAATAAATAGTTTGAAGCGTTTTTCTGTCAATAGTAAATTTCTGTTTTCTTAAAAGGCCTATTTTTTTGGAAGCTTTGTTAATTATATACTGAACATGATCAGTCCACCCTCCATTGGACGAAATAAAGACACCAAGGTGTTTGTGGCATGCTACCACTGTTAGTGGGTTGTTGTTCATAGACAAAGGGGGATGAAGTGGTTTGCCATTTTTTCTACTTACTGTCATTGACACTGTCTTTTTTTTTCTTTTTCTTTTTTCTTTTTTCTTTTCTTTTAAGTACAAATATTTTTTCCCTCAGCCATTTTTTTCATAAATATGTATATACATATACTGCTTCGAAGCAGATATATATATACATATATACATATTTTGAAAGGGGATGCCAGGGTTTGGGAGTCCTGGAGTCAGCCCCTGAACAATATAGTGTCCTCATTGACACTGTCTTACTAGGATTGAAATCGACAAGCCATGTTTTTGACCATTCATGAATTTTGTTTAGATTATCATTCAAGAGATTAGCGCTCAGATCCGGCAAATCCACTATAACTTATAGAGACGTCTCGTCAGCAAACAACTTTATAAGATAATTAATATCTTCGACGATGTCATTTATAAAAATTAGAAACAATAATGGACCTTGAATTGACCCTTGAGGAACTCGCAGAAGACCATTCTAATTTCTTTACCATTATCTAAAGCGGAAAATTTATCATTAGAAATAGATACAAGTTGATTTATAGTGGAATCAACGGATCTGAAACCCGACTGACAAGATGAAAGTAGGGCTTTGTCAGTGAAATAGTTATAAACATATCTATATATACACCTTTCCATCATTTTACCTATGATAGACTAAAGAGAGATAGGACGGTAATTTCCGAGAACAGATGGATCCTCTTTTTTGTGAACGGAAGTAACATTCGCCCTCTTCCATTGCGACGGGAACTTATAAGTTGTAAGAGAGTGGTTGAATAATGTTTGAAGTGGATAACTAAGAACATCGGCTGCTTCTTTGATTAGACGAGGGGTTATGAGGTCAGGACCAACAGCTGTTTTGCGTTCAAGAGAATTATTACGTCAAGAACATCTTGTCGGGATATGACAATGTCAGAAAGGGTATGATTATGGGATTTGTGTAGATCAGGAGGGTCAACATTAGTGTCGTTAATATTAGAATGTGAGCTGAAGAAAGTGCTTAAGGCATTGGCTTTGTCTAAGTCGTCGTGTATAAAGTTACCATTATAGGAAATAGGAGAAATATGTTTTTGTTTTGATTGAGTTAGACATAAGACGATTAACAATCTTCCACCATTCTTTAAATTTGCTACTGGTATTAGTATGATTAAGCTTTGTACATAATTTGTTTAAATAATCACGTTTAGATTTACGAATGGCATTTATACACATGTTACGAGCTTTCCTGAAATTCGACCAGTCGTGAGCATTCCATGACTGTTTGGCTTTGCGGTGTATATACTTCCGTTTACAAATCAATTTTCTAATTGCACTATTCATCCAAGCAGCATCATTCGCTCTTACAATTGTATCTTTTTCAGGTATGCACTCATTTGCAATTGTAAGTAAACAACGTGTAAATTGCTGTGTACTTTTGTCTATGTCATTAATGTCGCGAGTGCTGTCCCAATCAACATTAGAAAGTCTGTCACGATATTCGTCGTAGTTGCCTAGGCCGTTTAGCTATACTCTACGTTTAAAACTGGATTTTAGGGATTTTGAAATGTTAAGAGTGCCATAGACGGTACACGGGACAATGATATCTAATAGGGTGATCGAGGAAATTTTCACCGACATGAGACATGTTTACTAAAGAAGGATGACTTGCGCAAATTATGTCACACACACACGCACACGCACACACACACACACACACACACACACAAATACATATATACATACACACACACACACACAAATACATATATACATACATACCACACACACACACACAAATACATACATACATACATACAAACAGAACATAATTTATTTGGTATCTGAGTTTTTCATTTTCAGATTCAAGGGCATTCACACGATCAGTCAAGGGAGCAATATGATTTTGGACGATAACGTTTATGTCTTCCATCATCAAGCTGCGCACAGCTTTGGCAATACGGTCTATGTCAGAGTCGGATATACTATTGCTCATGGTACTGGGCTGTAAACATTGCTGAGTGAAGACAGTGCGTTCATCAGCGGTTGCTGCTGAAGCTGGTTAGGGAGGGGCGTTTGGTTAGCATTGACTTGTTGAGCACTAGCACAAGGTGTCGACATAGTTGGATCAAACGACATGTTTGGATTACAGGTGACAGCAGGTGATGAAGTGACGTCACTCTCACAAAGAAAATCGGTTGATTTTGCCCGTTTAATGTCTCTTGTTAATAATGGGGATGGGGTTGAGGTGGTCGAGATATTGGAGCGATTCCGTTTACTGTATCGTTCTGGAGTGGAGGTATATGGCCCGTACATGTATACAACGTGAACACTCATGCACATGTATGTACACTGATTATACGCATAGATGATCACAGGTACACAAAGGCTTTGAAGTAATCATCAAATATATGAGTGTTTAGGAGAGTTATATAATAACATCAGTGCAACGAAGTTCGAACTTATTTTTCACATTTTCCTCCAGTCTTTATACGTCCTCCGTTCTCCATCTATACAGGTTTTTTCACATTCTTATTGGAGCTGAGTGAAGGCCGTCCATACTTAATCAGGGGAGGCAATCAGTCGTCTTTCAAAATGGTGATATCATACATTATGATACCTTCTGTTAAAATCTCGTAAACTGATTGGTTGAGAAAGATGTGAACATTTTCAATGTTACTTGCTCGTTTTACAAAGATAAAGAAGACAGTGTGACATTCC